CACGGAGGTTGGCGTCTTGAGGCTACGAGCCATGCCGACGCTTGCCTCGCAGGGAATCTCATCTTCATCAGACTTCAGATTGGTGCTTGAGGCTATCCGTACCCACTTCCGTTCCTCCGCGCAGGAGAGCTCATGCCAGGTAGTATTCCTGATGAAGCCTCCTCCTGGACCTTCGACTCGTAATAAACCTTGCTGCCTCCCGTGACATGTTCGTGCTTGTCTTTTTCTTCTGATCCATTTCGGGACACCCGTTCACACGACAGCCTCTGTTTCTCATGCCAAACGCTTGAAGATGACCCTTGTTCTTCCATGGCGTATGAGGTCGTATGGCAGTTGTCGCAGTTGGGTCATGTGCAACATCTCGAAGAAGCTTGCTCACGGCCTGTGAGCCTGTCTTCTCGGAACACAGGGTCGAGTCCTGCACATTGGCCATGTCGATCTTTTGGGTCGGAATGTCCCAAGAGAAGGTCTTTCACGTCGACGGCGACTTTCGGGATCAAAAGCAGGATGTGTCAACTTGCCCTTTTTTGAAGAAGGCGGAAGGACTAGTCTCTGCACATCTCTGGATGCCTCTGATCCCTGCAGCTCCGGACTCTGCGAGAATGGTGTTTGTTTCCGAAGGCAAGTGAATTGCTTGTTGTGCGGACTCGTGTGAGAAACTACATCGACTAAGCTGAGCAAGATGAATTATGGCGAGTTCTCACCTGGCAGCACTCCTGTCCGATTTCTTAACCCACAAATGCCTGCCAAAGCCAGCCCGCTGAATCGCGCCAGCAGATAGGACATATCGACTTCACCAAGTCCGTCTCCTGCAAAAACCAGAACGACATGCTCCGAGACGCTCAGCAAGGCTGCGGCTTGGAGTGGGCCTCTTCTGTCGCAATGACCACAGCACCATGGAATCCACGCAGAGCCTTCAGACTTCCAGCCACTAGGGTCGCGGAACTTCCCACAACTGAGACCTTTGAGGCCTCGAGGAGCTGTGTCGAAGCCTTCTCCCATGAGGGGCAACCATCGAGTTCCAGCACCACCACCTGAGGCCTCAGCCACCACAAAAACGTCTTCATCAAGGAGAATGAACTAACAAATACATACTATATGTTCATACACACATATCAACATCAACATATATATATATATGTCAATATATGTATAGATAGAGAGAGAGAGGGAGAGAGAGGGGTTCGAGAGAAGGAAGATGGAACAGCGAGTTATGCTCTGAAAGTCGAGCTCGTCTGGCCTTCGCTCGTTCAGTTCCTTGGCAGCTGCCAGGAAGTACTCCGATGGCTCCTTCGAAGCCTCCTCAGCCAAGAGGTCTTCGCCGAGGCGGCAAACGTCCAGGGCTTCGTGCCGTTGAACCTGCGCGAGCATCTTTGGCACATTGATACGACACTTGGTTACCAGTTCTATTCTAACGACGATCACGACGACAACAATGACGAACATGAGCAAGAGGAGCCACGTTTGAGTGCGGAGCTTGCCGCCTTTTGGTCTCTGTGGTTACGGTCTGATCGAATTCAGGGCGCAACCTGGGACTGTAAGCTGTTAGCAGGCAGAAGCTGTAAGAAGTCACCTGCTCATCTCCAAATCGCCCCTGTAAATCACCTCAGAAAAATGAGATGTGAAACCCTGCCTTATACTATGGATCTCGCTTCCAGTCCGCCCCGAGCCTGCCTTGCCACTCTTCAAAGCCAGCTGGCCAAGCAGTAGCTGCAAGGCGATCTGCCCGCCTGGCCCCAAGGTGGCCACGCGGCTCTCGAGCGTCAGCTTGAGACCTCGGAACAGCCGAAGGCTCGAGACAGAAGGCGGTACAGACTTCGACTGGGAGCCGGGCCTGAGACGCGATGAACGCCGCCAGCACCAGCATCAGCATCAGCATCAGCCACGTCCAAAGAGCCGAAGGAAATCTCAAAAATCGGACGCTTCCGCGACTTGACGCCAGGAAGCTCGCGGGGCTTCTGCCACATCTCCGCGGTGATTGTCATGCCCGAGGACTACAGCACCGCAGCAGGCAGGCTTTAAAGTGAAAGAGCAAAACCAAGCCTGCCTGCGGATGTTGTCTCTACCAGCACCAACAACAGTAACTTCGCCCTGTTCAGGAATTATAAAAATACCAGAACCAGTGGTCGAGACAAGGAAGTTGAGCCGGCGGAAGTGGAAAACGACGCTCCCTGCCTCGATGGCTGGGAATACGAGACCTCCACCCGCTCTCTACACAGGTCTCTAGAGCCAGTTGGTTCAAACCCAAGCAGGGCTTGAGCCAAGAAGATCAAGACACCGGCCAGCTCTTCTTGCAAACTGCAAACACCTACGCGGACACCTGCAAATCATCACTGTGCACATATATCCACATGCTAGATGCATGTAGGTGCTTTCTGCCAACCTCCTGTGCAGATGCGTCGAGCTTGCAGTGCGCATAGAACCCCCGGCCTGCGAACAGACAAGGTCCGCCATTGATGTTAGATGGGCTATCTCCCGGCTGAAACCGCTCCGGGTTTCCCGCCCAGATGGACACACGCTTTCCGGCCATTCGGAGGGAGCTGTGGATGCGAACCTGTCAGTGGGTCCGAGCATGTGCAAGCGATAGGACTGTGCCAGATTTCTTAGATGATCTTGGATCTCAGCTGCTCAGATGGCGGCTTTCACCGGCGGCATCTCTTGGATTGTCCTGGCGAGAACCCGATCTGTCGCAACCTCTGCCGAGGGAGCATCTCATGGTCCGGCGCGGCCTCATTGAAGGCTCGCCTTGCAAAGCGGAGCTTGCGCGCGCGTCCTTCGACAGTGCAGCATCGGCGAGCTTTGTGGCGCAGAAGGGGGTCGTAAAGCCAGCACGCACAACTTAGCGTCCCCGATTGGACGCTTTGAGCACCTTCTTCCGAGCCTTGGCTTTCCACAGCAGTGCGTAAGCATGATCAGCACGCGTACGGCGTACTTACACTGCTTGCATCACCAGTCAACTCGCAAGTCATGCTAGGTCCAATGCATTGCAAGCCAGCCTGGTAGCCTCGGTCTCTCTCCGCAAACATGCGTCGAAATCCGTGCCCTGCAACCCTGTCTTGCCAAAGGCTGCAGCACGGCATTTCTGCGCCGTCAGCATGTAGCGTTCCAGCGCCAGACGCTGTGCCTGCTCGGAATTGCTGTGACATGCAGCTCCGGTAAAGCAGTGAGAGGAAACTTCCTTAGACCTTCAACCTGCAACATCCTGCAACACACACCCACTGCGCTCTCCGGACACTCATGCAGTTGCGTGATTGCCATGCAGGGTCATGTCACAGTTAGAGCTCATGCTTGACCTTACCAGCAAAATCGCCTGGGTGAGCCGCTCTGTGATGACCCGGCGCCGCGCTGATGGGTCCAACTGCTTGAGCAGGGCCTGCAAGCAAACACGGTAGAAAGCAGCAACCATAAATCAATTTGTCGCGTGCGTTTTTGTTCAGAAGCTTCCCCTTTTCTGTGAAGGCATGATTGAGTTCAAGCGTGTCGACGGAGCACGATGCTGAGAGCTGTCGGCCTCCGGGCATTCATGTCGGTTTTCCACTTGCAGAGTACTGGCTATGTGGCACTCCCGAGCATTTTTGAGACTATCCACAACACAGGGAGCTGAGATTTGCCGATCGAGTCTAGGGCCGTACTGCATGTTGTAAGGGACGTGTTCTCGAGTTTGACTGATGCTTCTTCGGTCGTTTTCTTCATCTTCGTTTATTATAGTAAAATGTCATACGACAGGCTTTGAGAAGTCTCACAGCAGAGCGCGGAAATGTTTGCATGACCCACTAACGGCGTCTACAATGCCATTAACGAACGTATCACCCTCGCAGGACTATTGACCATATCGCACGGTATATCATGTTGCTTACTTACTTATGTTGCTCATGTTTGTTCCAAGTACTAGTACATCTTGCAGCAATGCCTGCTTCCCACCAAGACTATACACAGCAGAGCTAGCAAAGCATCCGCAGAAACGCACACAGAAACTTTGCATGCGAGCAGCTGGAAAAGTCGAGCATGTCTCGGCAATACACCGAGTGCAAGATGCGGCAGAGTGTGCCTGTGCCTGCCCGTAAACATGTGTGTATATATATATGCACACATACATGCGCAATGATGAGTATGAACGGGACGATGAAAGTGTTACCACTGCTGTTGTTGGTGATGACGATGATCTACGCCGGCAGCAGCCCCAGACTAACATTAAGCTCCGAAGGTGCTCAGCAAGACCCCTGCATCTCTAACGCTAGAACCTCTGCTTGTATACACATCCATGAGCAAGCTTCTCCAGGTCGCTGCCCCACTTTTTGTTGCATGTCACAGACAAGCGATCGGGGGCCTGTAGCTGCAGTAGAAACTGCCGCTCCTCGCTGCCACGGCCAGTGTTGGGCTTAAGGCGCTATATATTATATATTATACTACTGTACTGCAAGCTCACTGTTCATTGCCGCATGTGTACATGCGCTGCTAGTCATAAGAACAAGAGACTGTTCAGGAATGCCTTTCTACATAAGACACGAAAGCTGCTGAAGAAATTGCAAAATAAGGATCCGTCAAACGAGTCGCACTTTGTACATGAAAGCTATGTTGGAATGACCCACACGTGATTGGACTTCCGGGGCTCTTTTTTGGGGTCTAACATGTGATGAGCATGGACGTTGGCATCCCAAAGCAGCGAAATACTCAAGCCAAACTGTTGAAACTTACATTACCCTTGAATCTAGGTCGGCCGGAACTAACAAACCCCCTTGCAAAAATGCGTAGCAATGACTCGAAGCCAGAGCCGGTGTCAAGATGAAGCCCGTCTCTTACACAAGCGATGCCCCAAGCACGCTTCCTGTCTTGGGATCGATCTCATTTCAGACCACACCGTGCCGGGACACCTAACATTGAATCTTTGGCCGTCGAGCCACTCGTGCAAGGAAGTAAACAGGCAGCTGCAAAGATGATATCGTACCAAGTGACATTACCGCCGCCGCCATTCGATCCGCTTCCGCCGGTTCCGCCGTTCCTTGACTTCAGGGTCTGCGCTCTTTGTGTGCGTGTAGGTGCCATGGAACTCTGCTGTGCCGCAGAAGCCCGAGGGACTGGCCTGCTGAGTCCGCACGACCTGGCCCACGGCACTTCCGACCAAAGAGAGTTTATAAAAGTATATTATATTTACATTATGTTATATATCATATTATATACACATATATATATACATATATATATATATATATTAAATATTATATATGATCCATTATATACTAAATGTTATGGATTATTTTCTATATAGTATATGTTATATACTATATATTATCTATTAAATTATATATGGTATATGATATATGATATATTATATATTATATATTATAGAGTATATATTATATATTATATGTTATATATTATTTATTATATATTATATATTATATATTCATGTATACTGTATATATTATATATTATATATTATTGTAGTATATAATCATAATATTAACATGTAATATATAATATATTAATATATTATATGTTCTATATTATATATTGTACTATATTGTATTATATTATATATTATGTTATATTATCTTAATACTACTTATATTATACTAGTTCAAGTATATTATTGTATATTATATTATACTATATTTTGTTATACTGCATTGTCATATCATATTACACTATATTTTATTATATTATATCATATTTCACTTAGATTCTATTGGATTCTATTATATTCTATTTTACTATATTATATTATATTATGACTGTTATTATTGCTATTATTGTTATTGTTATTCGTGTATATTGTTAGTATGTATTGTTACAACTATTATTAATATCAGCGCTGCGGGACACTGGGCTTACCTGCGTATCGACAAGAATATTGAAGCTTGCCGGGCTCGCTGGGGAGCGCGGCGAGAGTGAAGAGAGAGGGGCACTTAGTGTCAACGCAAACATGGAGTCCATGATGACCTCAGATCTCCAATCGATTCTCTGTTCCCTCGTGCATGGCCGCCACACGAAAAACTTTCAGCTGGCAAAAGAAAAGTGAAGCTTCCCTTGTTGATGCCAGCTGAACTGGGGAAGTGACGATGTCGAAGCCCAAATAAGGGCCGAAGGCAAGAAGGTCGCTGCTTGCTACGAGCCGATAGGAGGAGGAGAGACAGAGGCAACGATGCAGCAAGGCAACACAGCTGTAAGCAAAGGAATAACACACGAGCAGTAGCAAACAGTCAAACAGTGGCAGCGGCGATGCTCTATTAACCTGGTACCTTGCTATATTATGCAGACTTATGTCAATATACTTGTAGTTTCTATCGTGCCAGAATGCAGGTTTACGGCCAGGGCAACATTTCAACATTACTGCGTGGACAAAGCATTCTACTCATTCTACTTGTGGAGCAGCACTGGCAACAATTACTCATGCCAGCAATAGTCATATCTGTTGTTGACGATAAACTCATGGTGGCGGCAATAAGCATGAGCCATCAGAACGTGGCTGATGCATGTCCACAAACCAAGTGGACTGCACGATTTTGCACCTGTGATAAACCAATACGACAATGCTGCTTGATCACGACGCGAGCATAGTCTGACCACAGTGGCATTCTCGCATGAATACAGCAACAGAAGCATTAAACACTGCCGGCTGAAAATATCTGTAACACTAATTTCTTGAACAACTGACCACCCACTTGCCCCACACACTCACACCCACATCCCCAACTGCACAAACAAAGCCATTCGCAGCACCTTCTTGTGGTGCGTCCGTAGTTATGGCGTGCGAAGAGACACTGCCACTACACTCAGTACACATCCTGGACACCACCACAATTCCTGAGGTCCAGGCCTCTATGATCTACGGTGAAACGGCTGGGATGTCAAAAAACAGCTTGTCGAAGTCTTCTCCATAGATACGAGTAACGACGTCTGCTATACGATGTTTGCCGAATCAGCAGGATTTGGGTCCCTTGACCACAGAATCCAGCACACGATGGACAAAGATGTACAAAGCAATCGATTACAACGGAGTCACCTGATGCTGGCACAGGTGCCATGGACGGCTCAAACATGCGCAGCGATCATCAAGGGGGCTGGAAATCATTGAACACACCAATGCACCAGTTCCGTATGCCCCACATTGGCCTGATGCGTAGCTACAGTGCAACAAGAGGCATGTTGGGCCGATCTCCTTAGCCCGAGGTGCCGCATGTAGCGAAATTCATGGCCCACTGCCGCTCATAGTGACTTGATCTTTGGGAAAAGCTCCAAACCTCCGGACGCATCATCTTCACGCTTGGCTACTAGATTACCGCAGGATACCAGGCACATGCTGCGATCCTTTGTTTCAACTGCAGGCATGAATTCTTCACAGGCCTCCCTGCATCGGGACGCTTCGAAAAGCGAGACCCATGGAACGACGGCGAAAAAACAGCGATGGCAGACCCATGGGAGCACTTGATGTTGCCAAGGGATGAGCGGAGCACATCCCGCTTCAATTGCACATCCACGTACGCGCGAAGATCATGTCAAACGCGGCATGTCATGACTTTCAGGCACACCTTCACACGGCCGGTGCTCGTGAAGCAAGGCAGCACGCAGCAAGAGGATCAGCCATCCCCTCCCTCGACCGAGGCGGACGGCTTCCGAAAAACCCCTCAGCTCTTGTCAACTCCCAGGCCTCGCGGAATTCGGCTGCGCCGTCGCGCAGCGAAGCCCACAAGGAAGATGCCTGCACTCGCATTAAGGTTGGTGGGCTTCAGTATGAGCAATCACCGAAACGACAGTCTTTCTTTCCGTACTATCAGTCTTGAGCTGAGTGCTCGGCCAAGAAGAATCTTCCTCAGTTGAAAAGCATTTCTTGCGTCACCTCGACTTATCAGCCCTGCACAGTTTCGAACTTCCTTGTAGGGCGAGGCTCGACAGGATGCAAACCAGGAAGAAGCCAACGACAAACACCATGACCTAGGCAGCTCACGGCCCACGGCGGCAGACCAGCGGCATGGGCTCATCTCTGCTTGTGTGGACACAAAAAGACTTCCACGGACTCTAGCAGCTCTAGCAACTCTAGTATCACTTGCAACGAAGCGGCCGCAATTCGGGGATACTGTGCAGCCGCTGTGCAAGGCGCATTTGCCAGCATAACGAGGTGCAAAGCTACAATTGTCGTCCTGCAGAGCAATCAACTCAAGATGCACCGGTGCAAAGGCCTGGGAGAAGTCTTTCCATCCAACAAGGATACTGGCTTACACCAACAAGGACTATAGATACTGCGATGACCCATGGCCGGATATTATTCTCGTGGCGTGCTTCGTTGGGAATTGCAGGGCTGTCATTGGCACGCCGCTGAAGCCGAGCCGTCGCTGCAAGGAGTGGCTGAAGGAGTGGATGCCACGGAACGGCGGCGCCGGCCTCCACTCGAGTCACGTGCCACCCAAGGAGAATGCTCCATGGTTGCTTGGACTTCTTGTTGCGGCTACTGCTACTACTACTGGTACTGGTACTGGTACTGGTACTGGTACTGGTACTACTACTACCTCCTACTCCGACTACCCCTCGTCCTGCTGCTACTAGCTGCTGATGTTGCTAGTACTGCGAGTACTGAAAATTCTAATTCTACTAGTTACTGGTACTAAAGACTACGTACGACCAGTAGCACCACTCGTGTTCTGTCGCAGCGGAATGACAACCATGGTAGTTGCGACTTTGTCGCTGAAGGAATGGGAGGACCTCCCGGCCTGTCTCTTCCAGGCCGGTGTCGCTCTCGTCCTTAGAGTCTTACAGGACACTCGATGCAGAGTGAGGGATGAGGGGCGACCGCAGGAACTGTTTTATCATCTTGAAGTCCCTTGGTAGCATCTGCTCTAAGGTCAGGAGGGATGGGACATGAAGACTCGTGGAGACCATCCTCATGTCCACCGGAATGCGCATGCACACGAAGGTGGCAGCTATGTCACAGGCACGGACATAGAGGAGAGAGTTCCTGCTTCTCTGCTTCATTCCGGCGCACCGTGCCAACAACCGAAAGCATTGACAAGCTGTAGCGGGCGTAAGCTCGCTTAGCGAAAAAAGGCTGATTGAAGATATTGCTTGTTTCTAATTCCAATGGATGCCCTGAAATTCTTGTGTCAGCAGCAGTAAGGAACCTGAAGCAGAACGATTTTTTTACAAAAAAGCTCGTGCTGAACTTCTGCCAGTGCTGAGCCGAGGAGCCATCCTTCAGGGAGAGTCTGAAGCGAGTAATCGGTATATATTATATATAATAGAATATAATATTAATATTATATATATATGATTATATTGTTATTATATATATATATGTAGAAGGGAATGGTGAATACACGTGGATGGGATCAGTTCACTGTAGCATGGTTGATCATGGCTGTGCGGCACAGCCAGTGGGAAGTCCAATGAGATTGTCTCTGCCCACCTTGAGTAGCAGATCTTCCCCACTTCCAACGACCTTCACTTGTGCTTTTCATGTGCTCTGCTCACGAGTATATTTAAGCATCACGGCGGAAACCAGACCCCGCCTGGCTGTTGCGCAGGTTGCCGCATCGGCAGAGCAAGATATCCGCCAGCAGCACTTCCCAGTACACCTGCAGTCTGTACCCGCTTTCATGATGGCCGAACACTGAACGCCAAGACACTGAGCTGCGGCTGAAAGAGTTCTTGCGCAATGGAACGCCCTCCCCCTCAACCGCCTCGAAGGTCTTGGCCTGCATCTCGCTGAACTTCGTGATCAAGCAGAACTTGATCCAGTCGGTACCGATCTCGAGCACAACAAGTAGCAACAACCTCAGACAGCATACTTAACCGCATCCATCGTCGAGAAGACTTGCGCAACCGGGCACCAGCATGTCGGCGCAGCATCACTCGTGCTGCGAGCAGCCAGAACGAGATGTCAACTGCTGTGAACTTCCCCGAAGGTTCGGAAACACTCCTTAGGCTGGAGGCTAAAGCAGGTTTGACATGCCACGCAGGAAAACTGTCCCGGGAAATGCTTGGAATCCACATTGACAGACTCGCCTGGCCATTGCGACTTGGAGTCAATCTGGCTATCACAAATATGATGTCCAGCATCACATAGAAGCGTTCCACGATATCACTGGCAATTATTGGAAAAAGGCTTTTCTCTTCATAGCGCTTAAACACGGTAGATTTGATCTCTGCAAAATTGTTCGTGACCTTGGTTGCGCAGTCCGCGCACGTACTCTAGCACAGCTCTGCGAGGACAGCGTTGCTTCAGACGACATCCGAGAGGCAATGATAAGATACACCGCATTGCTTGAAGTATTGATCGCCACATTCAGAAGGATAACTCGAACCAGATGGATGGTGGCATGAACGAAACCTCATTCTGCAGAGCTCCGTTGGCCCAGCTTGCACAGTTGCTTTCCGGCAGTGAGCCAGAAATGCGTCTCGCATCTCTGTACTTTGCAGTGCAGAAGGTGTGCAGCACCAATGCTTGTTCATGCAAGGAGCAGTAAAGCAGAGTCGCACCGTACTTGGAAAGTAACGAGTACCACGGATGCCGAATGGATGCCAGAAGCAGATCGAACAAGTCCACTCCGACAGATCGGCACCAACGTTCAAACATCTCCTGGCTTGCAAGCTCAGTCAACACCATGAGAGGCAACTTTGTCCCTGCAAAGCCAGCTAGACACGGGTGGAGTTCGTCAAGGCCTGAGACTGCTGCCGAGGATCCAACATGTTGAACAGCACATACAGTTTCAGGAAAGATTCTCCTTCTATGTAGTGATACATCCTGAGTATGCATAGAAACACAAGAATCAGCAACTGCAACAACTGAGATCCAGGGTGCATCGTGTAATGAACCTGGGCAAGAGTCCATGCGACATCGAACAGCAGCAGCATCAATGTAACATTCCTCGGCACTGCCGCTCGAAGACGGAGTGACTCCACGTATCTCGCAGGAAAACACTCTCTACACACCAAGGTGCAAGATCAACAGAGAAAAGCGGATACAATCACCTGACCAGGAGCTGGATTGAAAAGTCCGGAAAAGCCACAAACCACGGAATCCGGAACGCAGACTCTCAAGCTCACTCCCAAGCTCATGAAGATCTGTCTGGTCAGTTTACTGTACCTCTAAGGTTCGTGCTGGCCAGCACCACCTTTGCCCCCACCCCCTTGTCCGGCTTGGTTTTCTGCAAGGCCAGGTTTCGGGGTTCCTCCTCCAACATCTTCTAACGTTCAAACGTCGGGAGCCCATAAGCTACGGCACTGCTACTGCGGGCGGTGGGTTCTCGACAGATTTCAAGAGTGATGACTCGGTCCGCACATGGAATCAAAATACCTGGGTATCGCAAACGGTCTCGCCTTGTTCTGTGATGTTCAGCATCACATTTTTGGAGCCATGGTTTAGCAAAGCCTCAGCGCAAGCAGCGTGATTGCAAATGGTCAAATCATAGTGAATCCCAAGCGCTATCATCAAATTTCATCTCAGGAGCAGCTGGCGGACGATCCTGAATGCCTGACACACGAGCGGAATGGTGGAACTATGCGTCGACCATCGCCAGCATAAGCTCCCACGGGCATCTCGCGCTGATTAGCAAAGCCATGCAGAAAGGCGCCTAGCTTGAATTAGTCGTCTGCGAGCCTCCCCGATGGTCCCAGCAGCCCCACTGCCGCAATCCGAGCATCAGCTGCGTGCACGAGCGGACCGCCTGTCGTGGCATCCTATGCAAGCGAGATGAAGAAAATGCAATGGCATACGATGATACACAGCCGAAATTCATGATATCTACTGGATATGTGATGCTAACGAATCGCCTCTAGTGGCGACATGCCAACATTAAGCAGGATCCCAGAGGTTGCGAATGTCTGCCGAAAACTTTCTTGGGAGCGTCAACACAATTGGCACGATCTTTTGAAACCATTGCTACTAATACTGTTGATGTCGGAACCTGATTAACAAAGATCCTTCGATGTTACAGGCCCGGCGGCGTCCAGCATTTGCAGTTTAGTTGACTTTGCAATGACCCCCAACAAGGCCCTACCTGAGTCCTTAACGAGAATATGCGACTCAGATACTGAGGAGCGGGACTCATGCTCAGAATTTGTGCTACTGCTGTGCCAGTCCTGACCTCCAAGACTCTATAAACAAGGTTCGGCCATAATTGATCGGACTTATGGGAACCTTGACGACCTTGATAGCCGGGAGGCCCCCGTTGTTAATGGGTGGAGTTTTATTTCGGTCCTTTTTTTTTGTTGATCCTTTTTTGTTTTTTTTGGTCCTCGCGTCCTATTATTTACACACGATGCCG